GTTCAGCATTAAGTTCATAAACACTGCCCGAGTTCAAAGTAGAGACCCCGCGTTTATTCTCAGCCGAGGGGTACAAATATTACGCCCGCTTCATTAGGTCCAGGACCAGAGCAGTTCATAGAGACCTCATGGGGTACCCTAGAGTACAATCATCACAGGCTTTCCAATACACGGCAAAAAATATATTATTTCCTGCAGCTAAACATTAGCTGGGACAGCTTATGTGTTAGCTGGCAGCGTGACAGCAAATGTATTTTGCTCGTGCAACATAAGCATTTGTTTTTACAGCCTTTTTGTAAGATATGAGAAACGAGACGACTTTGGTTTCGGTAGCTAAATGCCCTTTAGTTTACAGAACTAAACTCTTCTTCTTTGGGTTTGCTAAGGCGTTGTGACCAGCAGCTAACCACCCTGAAAAAGATACATATCAGCTGAACTAGCTTTGAGATTAGCTCCGTGAACTAATCTTCGGTCACTACCCTAGCTTATCAAGTGTTGATTAGGGCAGCCTACGTCTGGCTTAGACCAGCAAAGTTTATTAGCTGCAAAGACTAATACACACATTTGAAGTTCGGTTTTTGAAAGTTCCCTCTTGCTTGCTTGCCCTTCATCCCAGTCTCATCGCGCGCAGTGGCTCAGTGCCTCCGAGTTGGCGCGCAAAGCAGAAGGACGAGGGTTCAACACCCACTCAGGTCGCTCATAATTGATTCTCGAAAAACGTGCCGAGGGAGTATGAGACATCACCAGCTGTGTTAATAGTAAACAGTCATCAAAAATCGAAAAATATTTTTCAAAAAAATCAAATATTTTGCATTAGTCGTTACAGCTTATGCGGATTATCTCTGGTAGCGCACGCTTAGCTCTCACAGCTGACGCCTTGGCTCTTACAGGTCAGCCATTTGCTGTCACGCTGCCAGCTAACTAATTACCTACCACAGCTTACTTATTTTTTTCCGTGCAATCCAGTTGTCACAAGGAATCTAAATCGGCCCTCTCGAAAATGAACCACGTTGTTAGTTTTGCTCACCAAACGGGGAGGAACAACTTTTGTACATAAGTTCGATGTGTCTTTTTACTTGATCGCCTTGTGCACGTCTTCATTAGATACACATTTTTATATAAGGAGGTGCAATTTGTACCTAGACTTTAGGTATAAATGTTTCATTTTGTCAAAATTGCATCATCTTTAGATGTGCACAAGAACACACATGCTAATGCATTGTGTGGTACTGCCAACCATAGGTCTGGTGGATTCCGCGTCGTCCGACACCACAGAGGGACGCCCTGGAATCGCATCGGACTCTACGGGGCTGCTGCCACAGCACTGGCGAGCAGCATACCAGGCAAGCGGTGCCATACCAGCCACGCAACCACCGACTGTCAACAACGGCTGTCGAAAGCGATGTAATAACCCAAAGTCGAGTCTCGATGTACACATTGTGTCCAGTTCCACACCCCTCGCCCAAAGTTCACTGTAAAAAATTCTAAAAACAACAAAAAAAAACAACATCAAATTGTCATATTTTTTGCCGAATATTTTCAAAAACAAAAATTTACTTAAATCGACATTTAGGTTTTAAACTGCGACCATGACATGTTCGATGATGAAGCTGCTGGCTGCCACGGTGGGGAGCAGCGGGCGGGGTGGCCCTCGAAAAACTTACCTCCCGAGCAGACGGGTGCGGCGGCCAAGTCGGGCGTCTCGCCGCGCTGCGCAGAGCGGTGGTGTAGAGGCCCGGCCGGGCGGCCCCGGGCCTCCCGCAGCCGCAGTGCCAATACTCGTCGCTAATTGCGGCGCAGAGCAGCACAGGACGACGGGCGAGCCACAAACTTCTGAAAAACAATTCCGTACACCTCGAGGAAAACTGGGAATTCCAACCCGCCAAAGCGGTGGCGGTGCGGCAGCGGAGAGTTTGCAAGGTTTCGCCCCGCCGGGGCGCCTGGCTCTGGCTCAGACAACACTCGCCTCCCTTCCTCTCCGACCGAACTGGCCGCGGCTTCCACAAATACCTCCCGCGAACCGAAGAGCGCGCGCAACCGTGTGGCAGCGGCTCGGCTCGGGGGCGGGCGTCTTACTCAAGGTAATTAAAGCTGGGCCAGCCTCCTGCCGGACGCCGAACAAGCCTCGCCACTCACCGCACGGAGAAAAAAAAAATCACCGGAACTAATACATAGGCATGATTGGCAAAATTTTACGGGACAGTCAAGATATTTGCTGTGCCAACAAAGACCAAAGAATTAGATGTCAGGGACAAGAGTTAGTTGCTACACAGTTGCCATTCTATCCTCTAGGCCTTCATCATAAAAGGGTGCAGCTATGCAGTCTCGGTAGATGAGACGATGCTTTTAGTTGGCGAACGGAATTTACCTCCCGCGGGTCAAGTTACTTAGCAACAAAATAACGGACAGAAGAGGAAGTTTTCCTGCAGAACCGGAAGGGGTGGTGCACACGACTCGGCGGGGCCGTGCTGCCCATTTTTCACGAAAGGTCAGTAAAAGGTTTGGAAAGACAGTGAGTGGGTCTGTTGTAGCAGTGAAGGAAGCGCGCGTGCGAGGCTTGAGAGAGAGAAAGGGAGAGAGAGAGAGAGGGAGAGAGAGAGAGAGAGAGACCGTGACCCGCACGATACGACAAGAGTGAGCAACGACCTCCCGCGGATGGCGTGGCGTGCAGCTCCGCTCCGTCCCTAGCGATAGCCCGCCAGGGCCCTGCGCAGGCCCGCCATGGCCCGAGCGGGACCGGAGCGTTTTCCAAGTTGATTGCCTCCTCTCAGGAAGAGGGACGCCCCACGGCCCCCGCTCTGCCGGCTGCCTCCGCCCGGCCCGCCGAGGCCCGCCTAGTCTTACCTGTCTCCTCGCAAGTCTTCCTTCTAATCGCCTCGGCCGACGGCGAGCGCTCGGAGGATACCGGCTGCTCTGTTCGATGTATCCTTTCTGTGCCCCGGCCCGAACGCCAACGCGGCCCCAGATGCACGACCTCGGCTCCTCCTTGGCCCGCCCCGCCACCACCGGCGTCCTCCGGGGGGCCCTCGCATGTCAACTTGTCCGGCAGCGGGCCGCAGGGCCACACCTCAAGCAGCGCGTTGCAAGTTTTATGACCTGGGCTGCTGTGGACTCGTCCCGCGGCGGCTCATCTGGACCACGGCGCCTGCGAAGTCCGGGGTAGGCCGACCCGCAAGACACCCACGCCGCACGACGGCCTACCTCACGGGCGCCCGACCGCTCGCGCGTCGGGGGTCCTCGATCCTCACCGGCAAGGAAAGTAACTGCGCATTAGAACTGAGACGATAGGTTTGGGCTTTACTTGTCCCACATGTCTTTTGCCCTAAAATAAACCCTGAGATGGTGTATTTCTGAAAAATACCACGATGATCAATAATATAAAGGTTTTTCTAGGCAAGTTGGTAAATGTTTTGAGCTTTGAAAATATTGTGAAAAAGTTTCTGTCAAATTTGGTTGTTTTTAATGAAATTTTTCTTTTATTCTCTTCGGCAATGAAGACTGTAGCTAGACCCTAGCATGTCTGTATAGTTCCGTTTGCTTTGCTGGGCAAAACAGTGACCACGGTCGGTCTTACCTCTGCGTCCATAGTGCCTGGGATCCTCGTTCTGTCCATCGGCTATCCTCGAAGTCGCCACTGCGTTCTACTGGCGAGGAAATAGGCGACCCTGTCCTCCTGTTCCAAGCGATGGCTGCTCGTGTTCCAGTCGAGTCGAATCACAGTCGAAGCAGGCCGCAGCCGCAGTCTGTCCCAGTGATTGATACTGCCCCCGTGGCGGGGTCGAGCCGGAAGCCAAAGCCGATGGACGGGAAACGTTGGTGGGGATCTGGCCGGAATGAGCGACACTGTGAATCTGAGGTGAGCGGCAAACCATGCAAAACCTGACAGAATAGTGATTGTGTCGGCTGAAATTAATTAGTTACCACTCTGACATTTAAAGTGTTCAACAGCAGCGTGTCGCATACTTGCACCCGTTTTAATGAACATTTTATTACTTGCAAATTACGAGGTGCACAGCAACTGGCCGTCTGAAAAACTGACCTTCCCGCGCTGAACTGACCGCAACCACTTGGTAGCGCTAGTGTTCAGTGCCGCGCAACTGGAGAGCAGATGTTTCGATGAATTGTTATTAGCAATCGGGGACAATGCGTAAATTCGTGCAGTATTACAATCGTTGTGAGTCAAAGATAGAGTCATAAATTGATTGCATCAGATTAATGATTTGCAAAACCTAAAATAAACTTCAAGGTGATGTACTTGATAGTATTATCGAAGTGAAAGGGACAGCTAAGAAAGCAGTACATATATAGAATTTTTTCAAATAATCGTCACTATTATTATAGAATAGGTCGGAACCCATAGTCGATGGGCTCTTCCCAGAATCTCGCGATGTCCTCCTGCTCCTTTCCTTCACTGGCCGTTCTCACAGCCTCCCACCACGCGCTTGTCCCCTCAAATTGTTTCTCCTCCAATTCAAACAATTCTGGATCTGTGAGAAAGAAAAGTACAGTATAAGGATTACAATTTTTAATCTATTATACTAAACGACAAAGTGGTCTGAAAGAACACATTCAAAGGATTTTTTTTCCATTAGATTTTGATTGAACGCACAAATTAGATTGGGTTATTTTAGAGTGAAGAAGTATTGAAAATAACAAGTTTTTTCGTCAACTAAGATTACAAGCTGTTTGTTGTGGTAAAGAATCGAACTGTTCGTAACTTCACGGTTTGATGATGACAATTTAGAAGGTTAGATATAGTTTGTGTCTAAGTCGAAGTCCGTTAAGAAATTCAAGCGCTCCGGATCGTTCTTTCGATGTAACGAGGAGTTTGTTTAAGAAAATCAACAGGACGTTTTGTCGTTACACGATTTAAATTCCCCCAGCTTTGTCGTCCTCGTCCTGCCAGCAGCCCCAGGCTCCGGCCCTGGTGCCGGCAGCGACCCGCTCATCGAGAGGCGCCCAAGGGGTCCTTTACCATGGTAAAATGCATAAATTCAAGCGTACACTGATATTTTTTCTGTTTTTGCTTGATTTTTCTGTTCTGTTATTTTTCGACTTTTTATGATTATTTCTGATTTTTCCTGGGTATTCCCTGGTCTGTTTCTGGATTGTTTCTTACTTTTTTGGAGGTTGTACACTGAATTTTTTGAGTGAAGTACCCCTAGGCGGCGCCCCGCCGCCGCTGGCGGCACGGCGAGGCGCTTCATGGAAATCCGACAATTACCGGCGCGAACGACGACGAGACGCTGCAGATATTGGGCGGCGCCTCACCTGCTCCTTGACTCGCCGAATAAAAATGAGCGGGGGCTGCGGCGCTCCTCCTCGGGGCCTTGCAGAACCAGGGTCTCCAGGGCCTCCACTCAAGACAGGCGGGGCGGCGGAAGCGGCAGCTCAGTCCGGCGGCCAGCCGGCCAGGCCAGCATTATACCGGGGGCGTGGCGGGGCGTGGCGGGGCGTGGCGGGCTGAGCCGCCACCGCCGCTGCTGCAACCCCGCCGCGGCCATTCTCATGGAAATGCCAGCAGTCCAGGATTGAATAACTTCCCGGGGGCCCCGCTGGGCCGCCTCGGCTGCACCTGGCCGGACTAAGAGCCGCGCACACCCAACCTCCCTTTTCAACCACACTATCCCACCCCAAGCGCCCCCCTACCTTCCAAGTCGGGGGCGACACGACGACGCTGTGCACAGGGGACCTTCCCTGCTGCCGTCTAATTCTTTTGTGACAAATTCATTTCGCCCCGAGCAGCGGATTCATGAGTTCGCACCCCGCGCTCCTTTCTGTGTGCTATTCACCTGCCGCTGCTGCCGGTGTACGGCGGCGTGCGGACAGTCACAGTACGGCGCAAGCGAAAGGGAGATGCAATAAGCTCGATTTCCACGCGGAAAGAATTAAAGTATGAAACGTCGGGAAAAAAAAGGGAGACGGTGATACAAGAGCTCCAGAGTACGGCGGTGACGCGCGCGGGAGCTCAGCAGCGCTCCTGAGCGTCAGATCCGAGCCGATATAAGACACTCGATGGGTCGCGCCGCGGTGGTGGTCCCCACTACTAAAGGGGGGGATCAGGAAAGGGAGCGGGATCAGCAGAGCGGGGAGCGGGAGCAGAGGAGCGGCGACAGCCGGGGATAAATTGAGCGGAGAGGACCCGCCGCGCCCGCCCCGCGTGTCTCTTCATCATTTCACATCATGACGGATGTGAGATGCAGCATCAGCTCCCCCCCGGCCCGGCCCGGCCCGCCCCACTCCACCCCACCCCAGCCCCACCGCGCATTTCGTAGCGCGGATCAGCGCGCGTGTGTTCTCAATTCTGAGTGAGGCGGGGCGGGGCGGGGTGGTGGGGCCGTACCCTCTCCAAGCGGGCGACCCGCGCGGCACACGCATTCAATTCCTTCATCCCTTTACATGTCAGGGGCCTTCAGCTGCCGTCGTGACATTAATTTTTCTCAGACATCGAACATACACTCTACACACACACACACACACTTTGCGCGGGCGTTGGCAGCGTTTCTTGGAGAAGCATAGTAGGATAGGGGAGCGCGAGGTGGGTTGAGAATGTCACACACCCTGTAGGTGTGTGAATTCCAATTCGCAGACATGTACGAGGAAAGGTGCACGGTCAAAACTACGTCTGACTTTTTGAGGAAAACGGGAAAACCTCATATTTGAGGATTTATGGATTTACCTCGGACTTTCGCACACTTCCTTGGCTCCTTCCTTTGCTCGCTGTCACGTAAACGCCCAATTACCTGACAGCGGGGGAAAGGTAGCTGGAACCACGCGGCAAACTTCCGCACCAGTGACACAGCATAGGTAGGAGAAGGAAAACGAGGCAGAGGGAAGGGCTGCTCGCTGCAGCAGCACGCGGAGTGCGATGCGGTTTCGCAGGGCATAAGCGCCGCCGCCGCCGCCGCTGCCGTGGCGTCCAGATCCGTTCGTCACGGCAAACGGCCGATGAAACTCGCAGTGCGCGCGGCGCGCCATCTCTTCGATATGGGGGTGATAAAAGTTGTGCGGCCGCCGCCGCCGCTGCAGGAATCTAAATCTCCGCGCGCGCAGCGGGGCGGGCCCTGGCGGGGCAGCTCGACGGGAGGCGATGAGATATCGCCTGGGCCGCAGGCAGCCGCAGGCCACACAACACTTGCGGGGGACGACGCATAAAACACCGCAGCAGCCGGGCCAAGAATTACAATTCCTCCTCCCGAGCAACGCCCCGCCACCGCCCCGCCAGCACCCCACTCCTCCCCGCCAGTAAGCATCCGTGCCGATCCAAGGCATCGAGGGGACCACTACTACTGCCACTCTCGACAGCCGTTGTGCGCGACGCCCAGAGCGGTTTTGATTTTAATAATCTTCTGATGAAAAATATCTTATTTTATCGGCGCGAAGATGGACGCAGAAATCACGTCCAGAGCCAGCGGCAAGAGGAGACTTGGACTATTAGCCCAGTCGAGCCCAGCAATGTGCATTTTATTTGAGTTAAAATGTACACACAGAAAAATACTTTTCTTGATTCAAGTACATTGCTACTTGGGATAAATTTTGCTTTTGCACCAAAGCGGTTTTGATATTTTACAAAATCATAAAGCAATTTTCTTCACCCTAACATAACATTTTCTTGTTTAAGAGGAAACTTGAACTTGGGTCTGTACTTGGAACGAGAGAAGATTTTTGCAGGTATAGATAATAAGGCATAAACGAAAAGAAAACAAATGTGTCTTCTTTTTACCTGTGAAGCATATTTTTAAACTCCTCCCTTAAATTGTGCAATGTCAACCCAGTCAACAACTAAGAGGAAACTTGATCTTGGGTCTGTACTTGGAACGAGAGAAGATTTTTGCAGGTATAGATAATAAGGCATAAACGAAAAGAAAACAAATGTGTCTTCTTTTTACCTGTGAAGCATATTTTTAAACTCCTCCCTTAAATTGTGCAATGTCAACCCAGTCAACAACTAACGAAATTCGATGACAAACTTTCTCTATACTTTTAAGTAGCAGTAATAAAGATAATCTATGAGATAATAGGGGAGGGGTGATGTTCCAATTTTTTACTTTAATTGTTTGGTTCTACTTTGCTGCTTATAGAAGTTTTTCATCTACTTACAAAAATGTCAGCAGTCGGCTGATGGTGTTGAAGTATAATCTGCTGCTGATCTCGTCGAGTAAGAGGCATCCTCACTCCCCTCTTCTTTAACAGCAGTGTGGAAGAAAACAAGCCATCCGCCCTTAAAAACTTTGTCCTCGGAATAACGCTGAGTGCCTGCAAGTGGCCATGCAGCGGCGGCAGCAGCAGCAGCAGCAGCAGCAGCAGCATCAGGAGCCGCAGCACGGCGGGTGCTAAGCTGCTAAGTGCTCCCGACCATACAGGGCCGCTATCTCGGGTGTGGATGAGAAGGGCGGGGCACCACCGCGGTTAGCACCCGCCGTCGGCGGAGCCTCGCGTTGACATCGAGTTTACCTTTGCGTCCATCTGCAGAGCACCTAACCTAAAAACAAAAAGTCAACATGAAAAAAAAAACAACAACAAGCAAACCACCTCTTATTCCTCCGCCGTCTTCTTGGCCCCTTGCGAGTCCACCGGGTGACACGAAACGGAGCGTAAAAGGAGATAAGCGGTTGGATTGCAGTGCGCCGCTCCGCAGGCTCTGCCGCGTACCCCCCCCCCCCCCCCTCTCCACCCCGCTCTCCTGTGGGAGGCACAGATGCCCCGAGACAAGGACACCCGCAGCTCAGCCAACGCGCGGCGGTTGCGCCTGAAATTATACAAGGAGAATTCCGCTGGGGCCATCGAGGAGATGAGAGCTCAGGGACATTTACCTTGAGAGATTGGCAAAGACCGTCGTCCTGGCCCGACCCGCCAAGCAGGGCTCGGTACACACTACGTCGGCGGAGCGCGGAGGGGAAGGACCACCAGGACCCACCGAAGGGATTGCCTCAGAGGCAACGCTGTTTCTCCCGTGCGCCGAAACTCACTTGAAAATGAATAGAAAAACCAAATTAAACCACGACAGTGCGTGATGAGAATAGGACAGACACGCGGACAGACAGCAAGACAGAGTTGGTCGGATGATATCAGAAGCGTAAGAAGTTACGAGGCTTTCAAAACTGAGTAAAAATGAAACTGGAAGAGCACCAGGGTTTTATCTGAGAAATTTCTTGGTTGTGCGGGAACGTTTCTGTACACATCCAGCCCCAAGGAAATTTGGTCGTAAGACTGGATGAAAAAGTGTTTTACCCAATTTGTTTAGTTTTAGGAACAAATTTGCATCGGGCCAATGGATGTGGCACAAAAAAGTCCCTGTAAATGGAACAAACTTGTTCCTTCACAAATAGTGGTTCGTAACTTGCGCACTCTAAAAATCACACTGAAAGTCAGGTGTAACACTTGCTACGTTATGTAACAAAATTAGTTTTGTTGATTGGAAATATAGAGCTATGTTTCCCGAGCATATTTGGCAGTGTAACAGCTGTCACGTATTTGATTTTATCCAACATTTGTTGCATACACAACACTATGTAACAACGGTAACGTAAGATTATGAATGTGACAACTGTTATACACGTACACATACGTGTTGTTACATAGAGTAACTTTCAGTGACACGGGCGTCGTTAAGTGCATTATCACTTTCTCCTCAGTTTTCAGTTTGTTCGGACCGTGCACCGATTTTCTGAAAGCGACTTGTTGGCCGGAGCTTCTCCCGGGAGCTTCAAGTCCGCCCCCGCCCCGTCCTGCCCAGCGGCCCGGGTCGGCCCGGCCCGGCCCAGGTTGACGGCGGGTCGTCAATCTTACAAGTTGGGGGCCGCGACGCGCGAGGCGAGGGTGCCGGAGCCCGGCCCGGCACAAAGGCTCGGGGAAGGAAGCCGGTCAGGAGATAAGGAGAGCGGGGGAGGAGAGAAGGTTGCATCGGGTGATAGGGCCCGTAGGGGTGAGACGGAATTAGCGACCTGAGACGACGCCCCCGATTGTGAATGATAGATGTTCTGCAAGAGGGGAAGAGGGAGAGAGAGAGGGACACAGAGAGAGTGAGAGAGAGATTGAGGGGG